CTTTAAAATACAATTCTAATAATAATGAAAATAACATAAGGTTATTTAATTTTAATGTGACAAATGTGCACGATTTTCTTTGCACAACTTTGTAAAATCTGGTTGCTTTTTGATCAGCTTCAGTCTCGAGTCATCTTTGAGTTGAAGTCGGTGACAACGTTTAGTTTTCGTGTTTGTCATGGCCGAAAATCCGCTCTCGCAGAGGTATGTTGTGCAAAATGGTAGTAAATATTTTATTGCCGCTTCGCTGACACGATGATAATGATAATTGTACAATTAACACAAATTGTGTTAACTGTACACTTTTTGTTTCTTGCGTAAGAATTTCATTTAGGTATTGTCACAAATGCATTTTTTGATGAAATTTCGAGAATATTTTTAGTTATTAATAAATGAATTTGTGCATTCGACATCATGTTGTAAATTGCCGAATTTTTGATGGTCCCCCATTATTTTTTTGATTGCTTCATCTCATGCGTTTAAATTTTAAATTGACCGTTTTTAGATTGCAGCGCGTACCCCTTCACGCAATTTCGCGTACCCCCAGGGGTACGCGTACCACTAATTGGGAACCACTGGTCTAGTAGAAATACTTTCTTGAACTTTGCAATTTTTCAATCATCCAGCTGTCAGCCTCCTTATTGCTCAAGAGCCAAAAAGTTTTTACTAAAATAAAGAGAAAATCTTCTGTTGGAAGAAAATTTCCATTTTAATATACAAATTTTGTTGCTCAGAGGAACTGCTCAGATTTCCTTTTGTACAGTTGAAGTGTTTGGTTCTAGCATATAAAGTGATACAGAAATAATGTGTTGGGTTTTGATAACGATTCAGTCACAATATCAACACACCATATACCGAATAAATATGATGAAGTATATGATTGAGAACAGAGTTTTTTTTGGTAAATAATTATAACAGGAATAGGAGTTTAAAAGAAATGACTAGAGTCTTTCATCCTCAGTATTCTGCCTCAAGTCTAAGACTTTTACAATAATTTTTTGTAGATTTTTATATTCTAATTGATACCATAAAAATAGTAAAATAAATGAAAGCTTTGTACCAGTCTACAATATAAATGACCATAATGAGTTGAATCAGTTTGTAGAATAACTTGTACATCAAACTAAAACTGATTTGGCTCAAACTGTAGCTAATTTTCAGGCAACTTCTGAGAAAAATGGTGGTATCTTTTATATATTGCCCATATTTCTTCTTCACTACCATAAATGTTTTGTGGAATTTAAATCTATGCTTTTTTAAAACTATTTTTGCCCTGTGGGCACTAAGAGGGTTTCTTTTAGAAAGCCCATTATGGGTGCAGCCAGGCCCACAATGGGAAAACCAGGTGGTGAGGGACAAGGTCCAACATATCCAGATAGATCTCCAATTGAAAAATTGCTGGTGCTTTTTCAACCTGTTTTGATTCGATTCCAGGTCTTCAAAGAAGTAGGCTGCCATCTTGACTGCTCTGCCATCTGGCCATCAAAAATCTATGCTTTGGGATACTCACTTCAATACATTGATCAATACATTAACTTGATTATTTGATAAATATTCAGCTGTAATTATTAACAAAAAACAGTAAAGAAAATCCAACATATCAGATTTTTATATAAATACAAGACCAATTCAACTTCTGTCTCAAATTTCAGTAACGGCAATGAAAATGTGTGTTAAGAGTCCAATTTATGTTTTTTTCTCTAGGTATTCCCACTCCACATACTGACACTTCTCCTGTTGTTTTAGCAATAATGTTGTGTGTGCAAAACAAAAGTATTTTGACTAGTGTCAGAGCACAGTCCTGAACATAGTGGAGGCAATCATCAGACTTACATAGGAAATTCTGGATCATCTCACATACAGTCTGGATCTGTAATTGTGCATTAATCACTTATTTGGCCCTTTAAATAAAGTCTTGGAAAACAGAAATGTTGGGAGACAAGAGCCACTGCATGAACAACTCTGAAGTCTGAGTTCATCATATAGTGGCTCTAACACCCTCCAAAATACTTTTATTCTGCATGCAGAGAATTTTTGTCAAAACAATAGGAGAAGTGTCAGTGGTTGGTGAGGGAGTAAACAAAGAAAAAACTATAAATTGGAATTTTATAACAAACACAGTTCCATCACTATTACTGAAATTCCAGACAGAAAGTGAACTGATTACATACAAGAACCCAATATGTTAAATCTTTATAGGTTTTGGTAAATTGTAAAACTCATCACCCACATTTCTGAATCTTTAATTATTGTTTATTTGTGTTATCATTCTTCTTTGCTGTTATTTATGTATTACTATTCTGTTTTAGAAAAAATGTAATGTCTATTATGTTAGTTTAATGTTGAAAGCATTCTATATCATTTAATTAACCAGATTTCATGGTTAAAAATTAGTATTACTTCACATCTAATGCATCAGTCTAATTAATTCAAATTAATTGTAAAAAAATATTGAAATCTAAGCTTATTTAAATACCTTGAAAATATGATGATGAATTGCAACAGATCTAATGCTCTATATTCTGAAAATGATATCTGCAACAGAAATGGTGTACTAAATCCAAATACACGAACATAAAAAGTTGTATTGTCTGTACCAAATATATAGTCATCATGAGAAAACTGCACTTTAAATTTGTTGCATTTTTCACCTTCACGAAGTAAACGTTCAGTCGTGGAAACTGTAAATATGAATATAAAATTAATTTAGAAAATGGCTTAACATTATTTCTAAACTTTGTTTAATTAACTCACAAGATGAAACTGTTATATTTATAAGAGCACTATCAGAACATTTTATAGTTAACTCAACATCTACATCCGGCTTGACAGGAACATTCATAAAATTAATTTTTGTAAAATGTTTATCTTCATTTTTTGACATATTAAAAGTATACTGGAAATCTGTAGAGAGATTATCTAAAAAGAAAAAAAATTATATTACAAATCTGAGTGACATGTTTCATAAAATAAAATCTTTTGATAAATTACAATAAGCTATATTTCATGGAAAAAATTATCAAATTATATAAATTGTATAAGATTGATCTTTAATCATAGCAGAAAAAACATTGATTACATTTACAACTTCAAATTTTCTTCAAAAAAGTCAAATATTTAGAAAGTTGTCGTTTTTGATTTCATGAAGATGTTTGGAAATTGTTATTCTACTGAATAAAATAAATAATTAATTATTTTAATCAACTAATTTGATATACTGACAATTATAGTACATTCTATATTCAGATTATAAATATTCATATTGCTGAGCTATTATAATTAGAGATTATTAAAGCTGTATTTATTATTGCAAACATTTCAAGACAGAAGAGAGAATTTCAAAGATTGATCCAGTCATTTCTGTAACTGTATGAACAATAAATTCTACTAAACACAGATACCTTAGGAATTAAATTTGTTTTAATACAACTAATTTTGATTTTTACCCAAGTAAATCTGAAATATAAAAAAATTGGATAAAGATTTGCAACCAGTTTTGAGATTCTTGAGGTTTATTTAGACAAAACTAAATTCTGATACTGTTACTGTCTGCAGATCAGTTCAAAAAATTTCATTAAGTTTTCATGAAAAATCCTGTTCNTAAACACTATACAAACAGTAAAAAATGCTCATAGTATATGGGGAAGATGCTCCTAAATGTTGAACATGTGAAATGTGATTTTGAAAGTTTCATTCCAAAAATTTTGAACTAAAGAATACAAAATGCACGAGATGACTAAAAACTGTTGACAAAGAGAAATTTCAGGAAGCAAGTCTTAAAAAGTTACGAATAACAACCTGTACTTTCAAAAAATCTTTGTGTGTCACCGACATAATTATTGTGTTCCATCTGCATTAAGTGAAAAAAAAAAAAAAACAAACTGGATTGAGTATAATTTTATCTGATGAAGGTAGATAGCTCTAATGTTTCATTTTATTTAAATTAGTTACACATTTTTATCATAGAAAACTTTTCTTATAGATGACAAAATTAAAATAAAAATATTTGTTATTAACTGAAAATTTTGTTTTAGTAGGTTATTATTGTTCAATTGAGTGCCAAGCTTCCAGTGTATTTAATTAACACGATTTTGATATACAGAGTAATCGGAAAATGTCTGGCCAAAATTTAAAGAGAGTTACAGGAGACGAATATAAAAGGATTTGCAGTACAAAGCTTGTCCGGAAATGCTGCATGAATGTCCTGGAGAATAAAGAAAATGGAAAAATAAAAGGAAAGAGAGACAAACAAATGTAACAAGCCCTTTATTAACATGTCACAGCAAATGCTTGAAAGAGCGACCACCAACCATAATACAAGCATCACATTGCTGCTGCATTTTGTACAGCATTTGTGAAGCGCTGCATGCTGTATGAAATCACAGCAGGGAATGACAGCTTCTCATATTGCCAGCTTGTTTCGACTACCCTACAGAGTGCCCTCTATCACCTTCACGCAGTGTTTCTAGACAAGCATTGTAGTGCGAATCCTTTTATATTCATCCCCTCTAACCGCCTTTAAATTTTGGCGAAACATTTTCCAATCACCCTGTATATATATGTATATATGGTAGGATTGAGCAATTAATTAATCACATGAATCAAGAGATACCTGTTTATATACATTTATACTAACATGAACAGCCATATTTGAAATGAGCAATACAGACAATAAGGATGCCACTAGCAAATCTTAGCACAGAACAAAATATGTTCACTGAATTACTTAAAATTCTAGAAGTAGACAATCAGAGATTGGTTAGAAACAAGTCCAAGATCACAACTAACTACCTAAGTAGTTTAACATATGCCTAATTAGAATTAGCAAGAATTCTGCATTACTGAACACTGCTCTAATCATTACTGAGATATCAAAAGAATGGAATGAAAATGAGGTCAAATGTTTAGAGATTATAATTAAATTAATATTTATTAAATAATTTAGAAAATTCTGAAAGAAAAAATCAACCTAGAGCAGAAATCAAATTCCAACTGCAGATGCAGATTTGAGTCCGACTGAAGTTCAATTCTTTTTTTCCAGAATTTAGCAGTAATGTAGCCTGATTTAATCCAGTAATCATTTGGCTTTAATATAATCATCAGGCTTTGATACAGTATGTTTAAATCTTTAATAACTGAATACAGAATACCAATAAGAACAGAAAAACACAACTGGACATTATAGGTGCATCACAGCTACATCACTGTGATGGTCGTGCATGAGACCTATCTGTAACAATAGCAACAGTCATTGTGTAAATTTAAGTGATATGCCAAGATATAAACTACAGGCATAACGGATGTTGTTATACTTTCTGTAAATTTGATTTATTTAGACGAATGTTATTAAAAAAAAAAAACTCATCGAAATCTGTCGGTCTGTTCATTCTATGATCCATTATGTATGCTGTCCGTATAAATGTAATTGTCGCATATCAAACTTTTAATGTATGTTTTTTGAATGTGTTATATCTATATTGTGCATAGTTTCTTGTGCATTGTCAAATTATAATTCGCGTGTTTATACGTACATTCTTCACATGTTTGATTTTATTGTTTAGTTGGCTGAGGAGGGCCTGGAGCCCAAAATGCGCCTTGTAATTAGCGTCACAACCTAATAAAAGATGAATAATCTGCCAAGTGTTTAAAAAGTGTCACTACATTGTGTCTATGAAAAGTAAAAGTAAATAAAAAACACGGTTTCATTGGAATAAAAAAAAATCTTATATATGTTAGCTTATTCAGCTACAATGTTAAAAATAAACTAACCTAGATTTCATTCAGAAAGTAGTTCATAATGGATTTTAAATATATTATTTTAATAAAAAATTAATTATTCAAATTTAATTTCATTAATTGTGATAAATTATTTTGAAGAATTTGAAAAAACCTTCTAGAGTTATAAAATTTATAACTATTTCATAGCAATAATTAATAGAGTTACTTATTCAAAACAATATATTTATACTAACTAGGACACGATGTGAAGTGCCAACGTGTTGAAGGACACAAAGTATTATTTAGAACATATGATGAACCATTAAATGTCATTGGACCTAAATCAGAACCATCGTAACACTGCCCTAATCCTGTTCCACTTCCATTATCACACCAACCACATCTTGGATTTTTCTGACAATCATCACATGTCTGAATATATTTACATAATAATCCTGTAAATACAAAATACATTTAAAAATATAATTTAACAGTAATAAACACTAGTAATAATTATTTAAAAAATTCCAACCCAAGTGGTTAACATACTTGGAATTTAATAAATTGGAATTTATTAAATTCCAAGTATGTTAACCACTTGAATATAATACATGTAATTTAAAAAGATCAAATAATTTCTAACAAATACTCAAATTGTCAGTACAGGATATATTCACTGAACTTGGCAAATCAGACAAATGAGAGTTTTGTTTGGAAATTACAGGTTAAGCATTAAATTTATGGCACCAGATAGTTCTGGTACCATAAATTGGCATCAGAATCTGGTATAATTTGGATAGAATAACAATAGAGAATTTCACAATTTCCGTAACTACCAGGCTCGTTTGCCAAATGGCCATAAATGAAATTTATGAAGTACAGTAGAGCATCGTTTATCTGAAAACCAATCAACCAAAATGTTGGTTAACCAAAAGCATTCCAGCCAGACTGTGTTGTGCTGAATTGAACGTTTTTGATACTAGATTAACTTCTAAAGTATAATTTTTTTTTTTTTTATTTTTGAATATATTTATTTTGTTTGTGTGAAATAAAGAAATAATTTTTAACGATACAATAGCCACGATTATTATTTTAAAAAGTTTACGTTAGGCTTAATATCGATGAAAATTCAACACGAAGCAATATGCAATGGAGAAAAATTTCAACATGGGAATATATTTTTTTGTACATAATCAGTTATCCGAACAACCCAGTCCTCACTTGATTCAGATAAACGACACTCTACTGTATGTAATCCTGTACATTACAGCAGTTGGTGATCCTTATTTTCTGTACAATTTTTAACTAATTTCATTTATGTTTAACTTAACTATAACTTCTAAGACATACAATTATTAATGGCATCAAAAATAAACACAAATCCTCCTCTAACATATTCTTAATTTAATTATCTAGATCATAATGCTTTAGAGACATGAGTCATTTATATTTAGTAATCCAGGGTGTAGTATTGCTATTATAAGATCTCAATTAGTCCAATGAAATTATTAATATGACATCACAAACAAGCCTACCAGAAAACTGGTGGTTAATTTGTTTATCTTATGGTCTGTAATCTATACTGTGCTTCAATTCTATATCTTCAGTATCAATATATAGACAGTCAAAATCCATAATTTGCTAAGAAT